GAGTATATGCAAAACATGACATGTGCCATAAGCTAGGAAAGTAAGAGGCCCTAAAGCATAGGTTACAAGTTGCCCCGAGAGGACAAATTCAATTCCATTCCATCAAATGTATGTATAGCCATGTGCTTTATTCTAACGTTTTGTTCCTTCTTCTCCGGGAAAAGAATCGACCCACAATTACACATCATCTCAACGTACACGTACATTAATCATCAAGATTTCCCATGCATGCAAACTCGGATTATGTTAAATACACGTCGTAGGTACGTCATGAATTCCCTCAATTGATTAAATATAGAAATATTTGCACTAAATAGCACTAAAACTTAAGTCATTTCCCTAAATAGCACTTAATTTGTTTAATTTCCTAAATAACACGTAATAATGTTCAGTGATGGCAAAAATTTATTTAAATAATGACTAAAAGTGTTATATTAGGAAAATAATCTTTTTCAAAAAGGGATCCATTTCTGGATTCATTTACTAAATGTTCTTACAAGTATACTCGAGATAATGAAGCTATTTACAATGTGCAGTATTGTACGGAGTGAAAGGAAATAAAAACAAAATATGAAAGTACAAATGGTTCCTTTACGATTTGTGGGGAGAAATGAGAAGAGTCTTTGGACTTGGACATTTTAACCCATAGATTAAATGAACCTCCATTCCTCCAATAATTGAATCAGTTCATCCCTATACTTTGCATTATGTCAATATGTCCCTTTCTACTTTGTCTGGTGGGATACTATATATTTCAGATTAGGTATTCATCTTCAAGTAGCCACTGTTTTTTCAATGGTCATGGAAGTCGCTAATCTGATTCAGACACTTAATTGTGGTGCTTTATTCGTAAAATTAATAATTCTTACCCTTCTAATTTTTTGGTAAATCCATCCATTTTCTCTCGATCCCAACTCATCCCCCCGCCCACGTTAATTGCACCGCACAAGTTTAGTTGACTTTGTGATCAAACTTTTTACTTTAAAGTGAACTAAACTTGCAGAGTGCAATTGAGGTGGGTGGGGAAGAATTGGGGTCGGGATTTTCCGGATGACTAGGGAGTAAGAACCATCAATTTTACGAACAGAGCACCGTAAATTAGCATCCATGGGCACTCAGTGAGTGGCTGCTAGTGAGTGGCTGCTGAACCTAGCCGTGTATGTACGGGATATATACACAATTTATAAAAAGGTGCAATATAATAAAGTACTAGTCGTTGATCAAGAGAATGTATACCATACACCCGGATCTACATAGAGCTAGTACAATTGGTAAATATTCACTTTGAATCAATTGAATGTTCATTTTCAATTGGTAAATATTCATTCTGAAGTCTGTTACGTTCAGCATAATATTTATTCTAAAATAATGTAATGCTTATTCTGAAATATGTTTATTCTAGGGTAATTTACCTAAATAGGACTAAAACATAATGACTTTCTCAATATAGGACCATATGTTTTTATTTCCCAATATAAGACCATTGGTCATTATCTATTAGTCATTATTCAACTAAATGTCCAGCATCACTTGGACATTATTCTTCTCACCAGTCATTATTAAGTCCTTTTTAGGGAATAAAAAAATTTAAGTCCTACATTGGGAAATGATTAATGTTTTAGTTCTATTCAGTGCAAATTTCACTTTATTCTAAAACAACGTAGTGTTCATTATGAAAACATTTTTAAAATTAAAAAATTGTCATAATGTAACTCCAACAAAGTACAGAGATAGTATTTTCAATGTATAAATAGGATTTGAAAAAAGAAATTCATTGTGAATTGAGTTTGAATTTGAAGTAATGAGTTAGAGATAATCACTGCATTTTAAATCTGTATTGCATTTTAAATGGAAATATTATACTCCGTATGTTGTTTTGATTTTTTTATTTCGAGTTGATGTTTCATTTACAATCATTTGAATTTGATGCAAATATCACTATCTTGATCCCAATTAAAACCCCAAAAAAAAACCCCAAATCAAATCACACCCGAAATTAATTAGTAATTAGGTAGACCTGATCTTGATTCTCGTTGACCTTAAGTCATCCACTTACAGCTTAATTAACTATTGCAATTTCTCACTGAATTGTTTAATTTATAATATATGGTTTGATTTTATGAAGTTGTAGAACGTTGATTTTAATTTCATTCAACAAAAAATAATATTATAAGTTACTGAAAAAAATTGAAGGAAAAAAGTCACTAATAATTGTTTGGGTAGAGTTCCTTAGAGGCTTAGACTTTGCTTCATTTACATTCCACTGGGATAAAAAAAGAAATTTAAATACTCGTAATTATAAAGTAGGACATATAACTCTATATATATATATATATATATATATATATATATATATATATATATATATATATATATATATATATATATATATATATATATATATGAGATAATAATTGCAAAGGAAAAAGAAACAGTGCCAAGGAAAACGCGAATTCAATTTCTGACAATTGCGCTGGGTGGTACCTATGCTAAGCAATATGGTCTTTGCAACTACCGAGTGCAAGTTCCGTTTTTTGCTACCTATCTGCAATCAAAGTCAAATTTACTTCTTTTCAATGACCGTCCGGCCGAGTTCGAGGGATCTTTGGGATGGGGCCCATCTTTTTTTTTTGAAAAGGAAAAGAAAATGAAGTTATTCCAAAGTAAGGTGTAGGCGTGTAGCATTTGGCTTGAAAGAATCTGTCGGTTAGCATTAACATTTTGTGGGTTTTTCAACTTCAATTATCAAAAGCTTTAATTTAAAGTGGGAAGACAAAAATCATTTTCTGCACCTGCTTTTGAATTCCGCTCTTAATCCTCACCTAATCTGTAATCACTCACTCCCTCCAAAGTAATTGTGACACTTTAACTTTTTTGAATTAAAAAAAATATTTTAAAATCAGAATTTGATGGTTGAAAATCTTTAGAAAAGAGAAAATTATTAAAGAGTCTTAAATCAGATAATTAAAAAAATATTGAAGATTATTTTGTGACAATAAAAAAAGAAGAGTGTAAAGATAAATATGAGACCTAATGAAGTATATATAGAGTAGCTCTTAATTAATGGGTATGTTTTAGGGCTCCTTTGGTAAGCGAAACAAAGTTGGTGTCATATGATTTTAGTAAAATTTAAAATGAAAATTTTTGGAAAAATCTGAAATGATGACTATTAGTGCGTAAATAGTGGAGAATGGTCATTTGCGGATGTTAATTCCATGAGTTGTTCTCCTTATTCGTTATGTAGTTGAGTTGTATAACTCTTGTTGGCATTTTTTTTTGATAAAACAAATACTGTGTAGAAGTGTTTTTGTTTTAGTAAAGAGTTGTAACATTCTGTCTGTCATCTCAAGCTACAAGGAGTTCGAGTTCTAGTGATATGCTTTTCGCCGCATAGAGTTATAAAGAGTCCAATTGTGTGCCACGGTTACTTCGCAATGAGCTCAAGACTCTTTCTCATATAGAGTCCTAAATTGTAGAAGCACGAGACGCCTAACCAAAGCTATTCTTATGGAAAAACCAAGGCTGGAAGACTCCTACTGAAACAATACTAGGATTGTCTTCTCCTGTATATGAATCGATGTCACCTTCTTGAATCGGTGTGTGAAATATATCAAAAAAATTGACAGAGCAACTTTCACATACGAGAGTAATCCTGGTGAGAACGAAGACCATGCTGTCAAATTGCATTATTAAATTAGCGTGAGACCTCGTAGCTTGATATCGTTGTCCATCATGTAGTTGCTACGTGTATTTATGAATGTAAGTTCATGGTGAAGTCCAGAGGTGATCTTTGAAGTTCTGGATGTAAGCCGACAACACGTCCTTGGAGAAGATCTTTGAGAAGCTGTAACAATAACTTGTGTTGTAACAGCTTTGTGCCACGTCTTGCATTTCTCGATGTTTGCTCTGTGTGTTTTCTACAAATCTGTTTGAACGATTTAGGAAGATATTAAAGTTTTTGATTGATATCTTCTAAAATGGATTTAGAAAAAAATAATCTTTAAAATGGAAATTTAAAGTAAGACATTGAAAATATGAAATTGAATTAAGTTATAATGTACTTTACAAATGATGATTTTCTATTTTAAAAATTCTTTATTTATGTATTTCAATACTAACTCCCTCCATTCCAATGAGTTTGTTTAGTTTGACATTGTAGAGTCAAACTGAACAAATTTTATAATCAATTCAATAAAAATTAAAATGCTTATTCATAAAATAATAATTATTTTTTGAAAAATATTACAAATTAAATCTAATTAAATCATTTTTGTATTCATATGGAATGTACTACTACGTAACTTTTATTTAATTGATGATCACGATTTTATAATCATTTTTGTAAATTTTATAATTTTGTAACTTTTATGTAATGTACTCCGTACTATGTAAATTTTATAATCATTTTTGGATGTAATTGATGAAACACGATTTTTTTTTTGTAAAAACAATTGTTCATTATGTGAGAATATATCTACAAAAGATATTGTAGACCATAAAATTACCAAAGAAGCATTTCAATACTCCTTTTGTCCTACTATATTTGTCAAGATTGATTTTTGAGTCAAAATGAACCAATTTTAATCTCTAATTCCTCTTAATTTCTATTACATATTAATAAAATAAAATTTTAAAAGTTTTCCACAACATGAAGCTAGTCAAATCATTTTTATAATAATATATGTTACCGTTTCTAATTAATTGAAGTCCAAAATTTTTTGAGTTTGATTTTAAAAAATCAAATTAAACAAATATACTAAAAAAAGATATTATTTAAATAAAATGATTTCAAAAGACTGAAATTGATTCCGGGGATAAAAGATAAAGAATTAGATTTTTAAACGAACCTAGCCGTACTTTGTCCAAATTAAAAAAAATAGAATTTGGGCCCCCGCTGGTTCCTTAGGTCAGTCTCTGCTCCTTTATATGACAGGGGCAAATGTAATGTACCAATAAGAAGAGAGAGACCCGACGAAGACGAAGCCGAAGAACTGTACAGCCACCGCCTCCACGAATCCGTGCGGCGGCGCTCTCCGTGGATCCGGATTTTTTTTGCATTGGCAGGTCGGATTTTACTGTCGGCGGCGGGTCGGGTCGGGTCCGAGACTCAATTGAGGGGTGTTGAGTCGGAGATACGGGAGAGGAATTCTGGCCGGGGTACGGCTGTTGCTGTTGTTTCGTAGGAGGAGGAAGTCCCGGTCCAAGGTGATGGGCGGCGGTTGGTGGCGGAAGCTGGCTTTTCCGGTGAGGAGAGTCTGGTTCGCCGTCTCTGCTCGGGTCAAAGATCCCAATCATGGTCAGTTTACTAAAACCGATTATCTCATTCAATTTAAAACCCTCCGTCCACAAAAGATTTCTTATGCACTCTGCACTCCCAAATTTGTTAAAAATGTCAATTAAAATTTATATCCAATCTAAATAAATCTAATTACATAAACTGTCTGTTTGGAAATACTGTTTGAGATTAACGTTAGCATTTTCGATAAAATTTTAACGGTGCAGATTACTTTGAAAACGCTACCCGTAAATAGTCTTTTCAAAACGCCAACGCTAATTTCTAACGTTATTCCCAAACAGGCCCAAAATAGACGATGACACTAAAATTATCAATAACTGATTAAATAAGAATTACTCCGTACTCCGTAATAGTTTAGCGTTAGAGATTAGCGTTAGAATTTGAAAAAACTATCTATGGGTAGCTTTCAGCGTTAGTGTTTTCAAATTTATCCTACACCGTAAAATATTTTTCCAAAATATTAACGCTAATCGAAAACGTAGTTAAAAAACTGGCTTAGGATGGGGTTATTTTTGTTTCTCTATTTGTGGATTTTTTTTCAAATTTATCTGACCCAATTGGGTGAAGAATTGTTTAAAAAAGTCAAAAATAACTTGTGTCAATGTATGTTGTAATTAGTGAAACCAACAAGTAAAGTATCTCCGTGAAACTAAAAATACGGAGCAAGTAAATTTGATAATTTTGAAAACTTGTACTTTCCAAAAGTAAAAAACTAATCTATTTTTTTAAATAATGATTCTTTTTATGTCCGAACAAAAAAAAGTTGACCGAGGGAAAACTTGTTGATAAGTTGCAATTTTTATACTCTAATCTATGATTTTATAAAATAAAATGTTAAAACACAAAAACATGTAATTTGGATGAAAAAGATATATATATATATATATATATATATATATATATATATATATATATATATATATATATATCATTAGTCAAATAATTTGGAGTATTTCATTTAAAAAGGAAAGATAAAAAAAAGGTTGATGTTTATTTTGAACAAAGGGTACAACTTTAGAATGATATGGCATAATTCTCTAAAAATTGTCATATTTTGACTTTTTTGATCAAATTATGTCACTTTTTTACCAAGAATTATAGAAAAATATAATTAATTATAATATAAATTTAGTACAATTAGGTATATTTTAAAATATAATTTTGAAATATTAAAATTTTATAATATTTAATTATTTTGAAGTATATTGAACTCGTGGTCAAAACACGTCCTAATTTGACCTAAAAAGTTAAATTATGGTAATTTTTTAAGGACGGGAAAGAGTATTATTTTTTTTGTCATTAGTTCAAAGTTCAAAAAAGTGTCGGTTGAGCAATCTTCGTAATTAGTGTTTGATTTATAGTTTGTCACTTAGCTTTTTGACAAGTGTTTTTCGTGTCCATTTATGTGCATTTCCAAACATTTATTATTAACCTTTTTCGGGGTACCATATGGCGATATTGACCCTCCAAAATATGCTCATTTAAATAAAATAAGATTCTTGTAATTTTCTCATTATACTATACCCCTTGACAAAAAATAATTATTGCAGTTATTAGTCACATAGTCAAACTTTTTTTTTTACCTATTTTTGTTTGTTATTTGATTAAATTAATAGTTATATCACCTATAATTAAATAAATTGGATTGGAAATAATTTCAATCAAAAGTTGTAAACCGAACTAGCAGATCAATTTAGGACGGAGAGAGTATAATCTTAGGACTATATTTAAAGAAATTTACCTAAATAAAAATAAATGTTCCCAATTTTATAATCTGTGCCGGAAATTCACAATGTTTTAATTCTTGTTTTTTAAAATGGAAGAATCAGAATTCATATATTTGACTTAACAAATTTAATATCTTTTCTTCAAAAATTATTTTTTTTTAATTCAAATATAAATACAACTAAACATTAAAATTAAAAATAGAAATGAGAACTCAACCAATGGTTCTGGTTCTAAAAATATATGAACCGGAATTGCACCTTCTGGTTCCAATTCTTAAATTTATCGATAATAAAACAATTTCAAAATAATTGATTTTAGTTCGTAATTGGTTCTAAACCCAAACCGTATCCACCTCTACATTAATCTCAATCCAGTTGATTTTATACCATTTTAAAGAGCCAATTCAACCAAAAGTCAAAAACTCAAGTGTTTGATTATAGAACCAATAAAGATTTTGTACCCAATTTTATGGTCAAACCAAAATGTGAAACCATTTTAAAAGAAATTAAAGAATGGTCATACTTAAATTTAAATGAATTAATTAATTAATAATCAAATAATTTAAAAAAAAGGTGCAGGGCTACTGAAGCTGCGGGACGATATACAAACGTGTGGATACGAAGATGTGCAAGTGATGTGGGAGATGTTGAGGAGAACGGATTCCGTGTTTCTATCTCAGCCGTCCATTTCCAGCACTAATAAGAAGCGGAAGCAACGGCTGCGATCTCTCTGGAGGAATTTTTGTGTGCTCCGACCCAACTGATCCTTACCGTGTTCCCTCATCCAATCTGCACCGTCCATCGTCGCCGCTTTCTCTAATCGCCGCGCCATGTGTCGCGTTCATTGTTATTACTCCGCATGAGTTCTTTTCTCCTTCCGTAATAAACTTCATAATAATTTCGGATTTTTATTTGTAATTTATTGTATAATAATAACAATAGGATTTTAGCTTACTTACTTATCCCAGAAAATATATAGTTTTATTTTGGTATATGGTTTAAGTATGAATGGATGTACTATTAGAGAAATGAAAATATATGATCCCACCGACTCTAAATGATTTACTTATTTTACTATTTAAAAATTACGAAAATTTTTATTTATTTGTGTGTTTTAATTGAATAGAAATCAAGTATTTTTGTCACTTTTTGTTTTATAAAATTTTGTATGTTCTTATTAAATACTCCCTCCGTCCCATTTTATAACGTCTGTTTCGATTTACGATGTTTGACTAAAGTTATTTTCAAATCATTTTATATGACAAATGGTATAGAATTAAAAAATAAAAATTACATATCAAAATACTACATCAAAAGATCTACAAAACTAGTAGTGACAACAATATTTTATTTTATCAATTTGCTAACGAAAATAGAGAAAGAAAGTGAATGAAGTTTGACCCTGTGAATAGTGAACAGACATTATAATTTGGGACGGAGGGAGTATGTAAGTTTTTTTTCCATTTATATACGAATCTTTAAACAAAATAAAATGAAAAAAGTATGGAATTTTATTTTATTTTACGTAAAGGGTAAATCCATTTAGGAACGGAGGGACTATCAGATCCTCCTTCCATCCCACAATTGATTTATTACATTATTGTTATTATGAGATAGAGGAAGTTTTGATTTAAAATCTTGATCGATTTGCAAAAATGTAAATAATATAATGTGTTCTAAAATATTAAAACAATTGATAGATGTTAAAAATTCGGATTGATATCTTCCAAAATCAAGAGATTCCAAAACATCGGAATTTGTTAGACTTGTGATAAATCATATCCAATTCCTTTTAGATTTCTTCAAACAATCACAAAAGGCATCAAATATATTATATATCAGATCTCATATCTCCTACGTTCACCAAACGAACGACTAAAAAAATGAGAACAAAACTTTATTGATCAATGTGTAAAACAAAACATAAATCCTCAATGTCAAACAAAGAATACAAGGAATAAAGTTAAAGACAAAATTGTACTTGCTACAATACCAACACCGGAACTATTACTACTTGATTCGTCATCCGCCGCCGGCGCTGTCGGGGTCGGAGCAGATTCCGGCGAAGGAGAAGGGGCCGTGGATGGGCCCGGTGAGGGAGATATCATTTTCCTTGGGCTTGGGCTCGGGGGCTTGGTTGGGCTCGCAGCTGGAGGCTTGATTGGGCTTGTAGCTGGAGGCGTCGTTGGGCTTGCGGCCGGGGGTTTGGTCGGGCTGGAAGCAGGTGGCCTCGTTGGGCTTGCAGAAGGAGGAATTGTTGGGCTTGCAGGAGGATTTGTTGGGCTGGAAGATGGAGGAGTTAATTGGCTTGGAGATGGAGGCGTGATTGGGCTCGTTGCTGGCGCTAATATAACCGAAGACAACAAAAAATGTTAGTTATCAATTATCAAACATAATCAAAGAAATTACCAATGTTATTAAATCTCCGGACCGATAGAAAAACCGGCAATCGAACCGAGTTTCTCAGGGCAAATTTGGGAGATTTTGAAGAATATGACAGGCTTACCGTCTACTTCCCAATTCGACCGGTTCTATTTCGATTTATCATATTTAACTGAAAGTATTTTTAACTTTAACACTTGTATTTCTTTGGTCATAGAGTATTTTCCATTAGAGAAATTGGGCAAAGATTAACCATTACTTAATGTAATTTCTATTTAATAAATAATAAAAAATCGTCTGTTATAAATATATAATAATTTTATTATTTTTGGATATACACAAATTTGCATTAAGATGTACACCAAAGAAAGAATGTAAAAACTAAATTTGTATGGGTAAACATGTCTATTCTCATTATTTAGTGGCATACTAGGTTTGATTCAATCTTTTATACTATGACTATTCTTAATTAAATTTAAATTTGATTACTTTATCATACATTATTTCTCGTGTCTCACATTTCATAGCACATCCATTTGATTGTTTATTAATTATATTTATAAATAAATATTGCAAATTATAAAAATATTATATTTCAAATTTGTATTAATTGTAACAAATAACTTCTTATTGATATCAAATTTAAACAATAACTAAATGTATTTTTGTTTAAATTTTAGTCATGTCTAATGACACCAAAGTGATGTTTCCATATAAAAGGTTGAGTTCAATTTCCAGACGATATCTCACTATTTTTTATCGGATGTAGCCGATTTTATATTTGTTCTTTCCAATTTTTGTTTCAAGTAGATTATTTACAAGTATTATTCCTACCATCAAATTATTTTCGCTTTCTTTATATAGTCATCTAAATCATTTGATAACATGTTACTTGTATAAATATATTACCTTTATTTTGTAGATACATACCAATATGAATTTCATTTTTTTATACTTCCTTCTGTCTCATAATATTTGTTACTTTGATTCTTCCGAATGGATAAATTTTAATTTTTTTCAATTTGTATTGCATTATAATAGAATGAAATAGAATTTTGAAAATTATAAATTAATTAAATTCAATAAAATCATTTTTATACTAATATACATTGTAGTTTTTACTTGATTGAGTTTCAATATTTTCAAAGTTTGTCTAATTTAAATCGAAAAAGTCAAACAAGGCGAGTTAATATTTATATGAATTAATTTAAAATTAACACTTAGAATTACCTGAGCTAGAATTGGTGTTTGTAGAGTTATTCTCAATGCCCGGAGGAACAATAACGTTGCTGATCTGCAACACAGAGAAATTGTACGGCTGGGCAACGACAGGCGCAACCAGACTCGCCGCCGCACCAGCGGCGGCGCCGCCACCGGTATCCCCAACTGACCGGAACCCAACACTCCCGGAGCCAAGCCCAGTTATATTTATACTCCCCTGATTATTCGCCGCCTGACCGCTCGCCTGAAACAGCGTCGTCACGGTGACGCTCGTATTCCCCAAGGTCCGGAGCGTCTCGGCGTCGTAATAACCAAGAAGCACGTGAGCGGACACGATTTTCTTCAGAACCTCCGGCGGCGGCGGCGCCGCCGTGGAAATGTTGCCATTGGCGACCGCCAGGACGGTGACCGGAGGCGGGCGGGAGTTGATCGTGTCCGCCACTCCGGTTCGGGTCAAGAAGTCGTTAAACGTGCTGAAAGACGGGCGGGTTGCGAGAACGGCGGTGACGTTAAAGGCGGCGGTGGCGGCGCCGTGGAAGGAGAATACGGCGGAGGAGAAGAAGATGAAAAATAGGATCTTGGAATTCATCTTCAATTTTATTATATTATTCACTTTTTTTTTTGCTATTTAGATTTGCTTATTTTTTGGGGGGTAATATGGGAATTTAAGAATGTGTTGAATGGAAATGAAGTTTATGAGTGAGTGTTGTGAGGCTTATTTGGGGAGAGAATTAGTTGTGAGAAGAATGGAGTGGAGAATTTGGAGGCAAAGTTGTGAAGTTTGTAGTGCCATTTGCCAATATTATTATTAGTGTGGTAAACTTTGTTGACCCCATAATGTAGGAAAAGTTGTGATTCACATGTGGGGTTAGTATTATGTTATCTGTTTTTTCAATGTTTACATAAATTTTGTTTTTTTACAAAATAATGCTTACTAGATTCAAAAAACACTTTCCATTTTTTAGTTTTGAACATCCAAAAATATAAATTTTTCTTTCTTTTACAATGATAAAAAGACGGCTCACATAAATAATTAAATTTACGTAAATGCGAGCCGTATTTTTTAGAAATATTATGGAAATTTTAGTATACCATGGATGCCCAATCGTATGTTACACATTTCACATATAGAATTTCACATATTCATTTTTATATTTCTCATCTTAATTAAGTGAAATTTGTACTAAATAAGACTAAAACATAAGTCATTTCTCAATGTAGCACTTAAACTTTTTTATTTCCTATTTACTACTCCCTCCGTCCGAAAATATTCTTCCCACTTTCCTTTTTAGTCCGTCCAGAAATATTCTTCTCATTTCCTTTTTTAGTATACTTTTTAAGGATAAATATCAATAATACCCTTCTATTTTATCACAAATTTACTTTTTTAGTACTTTTTTAATAATAAAAGGAGATTTAAAAGTTTATAGTATGTGCATTTTTAAAAAATTTACATTTTTTTACTATTCCTTAATAAGCGTGCCAAGTCAACACGGAAAGAATATTTTCGGACGGAGGGAGTACTTAATAATGTCTGGTAGAAGGAATAATGTTTAGTGATGGTGGATATTACTTGAATAATGACTAATGGATAATGACTAATGATCCTACATTAGGAAATAAAATTATATGATCTTATATTGAGAAAATCATTATATTTATATCCTATTTAGGTAAATTCTCCCTTAATTAAGATTGTGTATGGTTGGGGGTAAAATATTCCAAGAAAAATTATTCTTCAATCATATAATCTATTTGGTAGAAAAATATTTTCCTTCCACTAATGTCACCAAACACATGAAAATGGAATTAAAATTTTCCTGAAAAATATTTTACGTCCAACCAAACACACCTTAATTGATTAAAGATTTTAGAATACCACAATTTTTTTAGGGTGTATCACAATTAAAAAATAAGGAGCATATACACATAAGACATAACATAAGCAAACTGAACTTACTACATGATTTGCCCAAAGTTTACCCAGCTTCATAAATTAACCAAAAAATACTCCAAATCAGTAAAAGAAAAGATAAACAATTCAATTATTACTATTATTATTATTTTCGCTTTGAACTTTTACAGTGCGGTGGCCGGTGATCGGAAAGCACAAAGACAACAAATGCGTGTTAATACAATCTATCAACTCCGGGAGGAAACAAAGAGACGGCAGAGCTGGCGGCAAACGGCGGCGGCGGGGCGCTATCGTCCTACAATGGCTTCAGGCCGTGCTTGAGCGCGGCCTTCCACACCGTATCGATCTGGTCTACGTTGATGGCTCCGACCTCGTGGTGGGTCCACCCTTCTAGGAAATGTACCACCCCTCCCGCGTGGCATGCGTGTACTACACCCCTTCCCATCGTGTACTGCACCCGACAATGCCAATAAAAATATCAGGTCATGTTACAGTCACATCACAGATGACATCAAGATTGACCCAGTCAGTGTTTCACAGACAATGACTATTTCTATGTGCGTCATTGTCTCTGATAGTGTCAACCTTGGTGTCAATCCCTTGGATTATCATTTTTCATAAATATATACGAAGTATATGAATAATGCTAAAATCCCACTGTGGGTGCCCCACAGATGAGTATTACAGATGATTTTATACATAAACTGACAATAATCGTTTGTATCTACAGATGATTATCGTCTGTGCACGTATAAATCATCTGTGATTGTCATCTACGGAAGCAGTCATGACGGATTTCTAGCATGGTAGAGAGTATATAAATATACCTCACACGAACCAAGGCCCTCGACGTCCTTTGGTAGCCTCATCGCGGCTAACTTCCCATAGGTGCAGTCTCTACGGAATGGGATGACAGGCGGGACGACGAACTGATGAATATGCGTTCCCGACGGGGCCCAGCTTTGCTCCCGAGGCGTAGCCCACTTCCCAATTATCCACGTCTGTCGACATTTCCAGACACGCATAAACACTCAATATCTCAAGCAGTGATTGTGAAATACATTGTGTCAAACTCTTATGTTAAAAGTTCGGTGTAATTCTTAATTTTTACCTTGCAGTGCTTGGCTGCTTGATACTTTGTAACTTGAACTAGGAATTGCTGGCAATCAATAGGGGCTTCGCTTTGGACTTTTAAAAATCTCTCCGTTGACTGAGTAAGCATCTGAATATTCGAGTCGATTTAAGGGTAAAGTTGTCAATTCATCATAAATGGAGTGGATTTAGTCAGAATAAAAGTAGATATAGCAATACTTTGCTTCAATTGAATGCCTTATTAACTCCCGAACGGTTCTAGAGCCACCGACTCCGGTTGACACTGCGGTGCCACTGCTTTTTAGGGTACCTACAATACTCCGTTCCTAAAGTTGATGGTTTTTACTCACTTTCCCCCACCCTGGCCCGACCAGAGCCCAGCCCCAAACCCCAATTCCTTCAATTTCATCCCCTAAATTTGGAGGATGAAAAGGTTGGGGAGTAAACAGAGTTCGGGTTGGGTCGGATCGGGTCAGGAGTGATTACTTTTACCGGTGGATAAGAACCATCAGTTTTGTGAAGGAGGCACCATACGTATCCCAATTGACGCCATTGTCATCCAGAGTCATTCAAAGCGAGTGGCTCTGGAACCCTTTTGACTCATTATTCTTCGGGTAGTTTTTCTCACTTTTCTGATGTGGGATACTTGAGTAAGGGTAATGTTTGTTTGTACCAGGACCCGGACGCGTCGGCGGGACAGGTAGAGGGCAATGGCCCTGCCGAGCTTGGACGTGGCCCCCGTCAAGAACACCTCGTCGACGTCCCTCGGGATGTCGTTCAAGATGACGGCGGCCGTCAAGGTGTTGCCGTGGACGACTCGGACCTTGAGGTCGGGAAGCTTGTTCACGAACAGCGTTCCGCCGCCGTTGAGGCCTTCGTTCTTGTTCAGTGCCGCGAGGCTAATGACCTTCACGCCTATTCTGTCCGCCATTAGGATTGCTTCCTCTATTTGTTTGTTTATTCCTTCCGCAGCAAAAGGCAAGAAATACTGCAAGTTTTGGCACATCATTAGATTTTCTATAGCCAATGTCAAAATAGAAGCACTATATGACCAGAATACCCCTATGCAATGTTTTAAAGCAAATGCTTCTTATATTGCTCCCTTTATTCTCTTAAATTTTGGTTTAGGGTGTGTTTGGTTGGAGAGGTTTGAGAAGAGTGCGAACGAAGGGAAAACGTCGGCTCCTCTTCCTCGAACCAAACACGCCCTTAAAACGGAGAAAGGGAAGGAAAGTCACCTGGAAACCGAATCTCGGAACGACCCATGTTTGGTGAACTTTTCCTCTGAGAATGTAAAAGCTGAACAAGAAAGTTTTGGATTTGAGCCACATGACGATCATCACCAAGAAGGTGAAAGGCCACAACGGCAACAAGAAGAGCCTGTTACTGAACGGAGTCGAACTGAACGACCGGAAAACAAACGGGGAATGCATCGCTGACATCACGTCGACGACGTGCGCAAGGAACACGAAATCCGGGGCCTTCTCGTCCGCACCTTTTGTATATGTCCAAACAAGTAAACAACACACGTTTATCAAAAGTGAGATTTGAACTAAATAGTACTAAAACATAAGTCATTTCCCAATGTACGACTTAAATTTTTTTATTCTCTAAATAGGACTTAATAATGACTATTGAGAAGAATAATGCCCAAGTGATGCTGGACATTTAGTTGAATAATGACTAATAGATAATGACCAATGGTCCTACGGAAAATAAAAACATATGGTTCTATATTGAGAAAGTCATTATCTTTTAGTCCTATTTAGGTAATTACAAGCAATGACAAGCCTATGGAGAGTGTGTGTGGGGTGGGGTCCAGGGAAGTGTGTGCGCGCAAACTTTACCTTTACTACAGAAAAAACCAGTAAAACCTCACAAAGAACGAGTCGGAGAACGGGTGAAAAAAGACTTACTAGTCCTTGAACTGATCTCTCTCTGAAGCTCCCAAGAACGGGGGTCGGTCGTCTTCCCCAACACATCATAGAGAGGCATAAACAAGCAAAAGTTACTCCTTTTGTCCTTATGGTGCAAGCTGTAGTACCTGTTAATAAGGTGCAAGTTTCGATTCAATAGTTGCGGGCATACTTCGGGTGCAACCCGAATGTTTTACCGGATTCAACCCAATGTTCTATAACGAGAGCCGGGTTCAAGTAAATTCGCGCTTAAACCCAACCCAAAACCTAGATTTACTAGTACACAACAGCGACAAATCCAATAAAATCACTTGGACAATTAAGCACATGGCGACGGGCACACATTTATGTATTTAGAAGCGAAAACTATGGTATTTACCGACTAAACCCGAACCCGACAAAACCCGACCCGTATGATCCGAACAGAGAGAACGAGATTGAGAAAGCGGCTTACTTACGTTGGGGTATAAATGAGGTACTTGAGAACTGGGATAAACTTGAAGAGATTACTGGGCATGATTTCAACATTGCTGTATCCCAAACATCTAAGGAAATCAAATGTCAGAATGTAACTGTACATAACGGCGATTGAACCGTATCCGAGTAACGCCGTTCCCAGAGTTGGAATTCCCACAACCAAACACATTAATAGGTGTTCCAAAAATGCTGCACTGCCAGCTGCATCACCAACAAATGAAACCAAGAATCCAACTTGTCAAAAAATCATCAAGTTATGCACAAAAAAAAAACAATTTTCATTCTCAAACAGTAATCCCATACAAGTGGGGTCCGCGAAGGGTGTGTGCTCGGAAACTTTACCCCTACTAGAAAGTAGAGAGGCTGTTTTTAAGAGACACCCGTCGCAAAATAATTGCCTATTAAGGGAAAAACACTTGTGATCTATAAGATGGCGATTGATTACTTTTGTTGTACCTGTAAAGGGATGTGGAATTTTCGAATCGTGATGTAGCCAATGGTAGAGAGGGAAGAGGTGTGGGCTATGCAATAGTCTATGGATCGCATAGTAGAGTGGCTCCGAGAATGCTATGTGCAAAGCGAGACACCAAAGGAAGCCTTTGAGTTCCCATGTTGGGAGATTGGCCAAGGAAGGGAAGCTCATGTAGGCAAATGAAGCCATTATAGCTTGAAGTAGTAAGAAGTTGTCCCTGTTATGAACACATGAAAGACATAAATGTTATTGTCAAAGAAGCAACTCAACCGCAAGATGTTAAACCCCATAGGGGGCTTGAATATGTTAGTTGTGTGTTTAAGGGATAGTGACACCAAAAATGACACTAATGTGGTTTGCATACAATTGTTCTGTGAAACACGGTGGTGTCATATTTGTTGTTGTCATCCTTGGTGTCACTGTAGCATGACGCGTGTGTGAATGGGGCACCCAAAGATTAGATCGAAGGGTGGAGATTCACACCCCCATAGTCCCAAACAAGATGTGGGGGAAAAAAGAAGAAGAGATCATACCAATGCCACTCCTTGTCAATCTGTTCAAAATCAATGCCTTGCGTAAAGACCCGCTTGGCACGGTTAAGAAAGAGCATGTTGCAGTAAGAACACCATAGCTGATGGAGAAAGCCTCTAATGGAAGTCAATAAAAGAATATGCAAGCACCAAACATCCTCCAAACTCTCCTTCCAAACCAGTGAGTATATGAACTTTGCAATCAATGGCCCATACAACACATACTGCTCAAGAATTCAAAAAAACAACCAAACAGACACACAAGAAAATTACAAAACATTTTATTTAAGATAGCCAAAGTAAAACTCAACCAAAATCTGGAACTTTTGGTTGTAGGCCTAGCTAGGAAAGGTTCTCTACCCTAACATCTGGGAGATTTGTTTTTACTCGGGCCGTGAGCATTGATTTTTAAAATTTGGATGGTGGTGAGGTTCAAATTTGTGACCTTTTGATTAATAATATTTTAGTACCATGTTAAAGAACCAAATCAACCAAGAGTTCAAGATTTCGGTGGTAGATCCAGAAAAAAAGTTTTATATTCCAAAAAAATTTGTCAAGAAAGAAACTCAACCAAAAGGTCAAACTTGTGGTTACAAGAGGTCCAAGAAACTTCTTTTTATATACTCTTACACGCTCTCACGTGCAAACGTGATCACTTTGAGCCTTGCATTTGAGACGTTTTTTTCTTTAAATTGGGTAGAGGTGATGTTCGAACTAGTGACTTCTTGGTCAATAAATTAAGACTCTCGCACCATATTAAGAAACCAATTCAACCAAAATTTCAAATTTATAGTTGGCATGACATCAAAACCTTGCTGAGTCAATTTCTTGACAAAAATCAACTCAATGTTCTTTTTGGGTTATTTTTTTTTTCAAAGAATCAACTAAAGGTATATACAACAACAGCAACTGAAGTTATTTAAATAAAAATAAAGAAGTGAGATTATAACATTTAGAAAAATAAAAATAAAATCTTGCCTTGAAATTGCCCAAGTTTTCCCAAGGCCAAGCAAAAAAGGCAGCATCTTTTCTCCTAACAAGAGCAACTGCTTCATCTTCTTGAACAGCAGCACCGCCATTTTCTTTCTCCATCTCACTGGTAATGGAATCCAGTGAGATTTTTTGTGTTTCACTGTCACCCAAAAATGGCAAAGACCCAAAAAAAGAATTTCAACAATAAATAACTCAAACAACAAGATTAAAGAGGGGAATTTAATGGCTAAAACAAGAAAGTCTTTTTATTTTTTGGATCTGTACGAACCAGTTTCTCTTGTCTTTCCCTCTTTAAGCTCTTCTTTGGCTCCAATAATGGTGAAAATGGGGTTATGGGTGGGAGTAAATATATACACAAGTAGACCCAAAGAGGGAGAAACTGAGAATGAGGTTTGCAAATTTGCAGTTGGATTTCAGAGTCATAACATTAATTAACACTTTTTTTTTTAATTTGAAAAAGAAATGAAATTTGTGAAGATTTTGTTTTTTTTTTTCTTTTTGATTTGAAACAATGGAAATTTGCCACCCTTCTATAATTGACAGGTACCAAATTCTATGGCATAAAACTGGACAATAAATTATTTCTCCATTTTGGTGGCTCTACAGAGAGCTAGTTGATAATTGGGCGGCAGCAGAAACCAGAGTGTTTAATTGTTTGAACACTCAGCTGGGTCAAACATAGTTATTTCCTACCTATCTCCCAAATTAATTTTATAACAACTTTTAAGTCATAATTAAAGTGTTGATAATTTTTTAAAAAAAGTGATTACTCTGAAAATATTTGTCTAGAAAATTGTTAAATTTTTTCGGGTTATATGAATTTTGATATATTCCGATATTAGAAATTTTTTATGGGTGTTTGGTTAAATTCAAACAACACTCAAATTTAATATTTTTTGATCTTATAACTCTTTTAAATGCCAGGGTGTTTTGATATCTCTCGATTTTGTGGAATATCGGTCTGAAGTTTTGATATCCCTCTCAACCGTTGGTCACCTATTGATAGTGAGTGAATGCCAACCCTTATTGCCGTCCACCTCGTGGGACTCTTAATATTGAAGTCTTTTCTTTAAAATAAAAAGATTTGACGTTTAAGTATCTATACATAGGAGAGGATACGAAACGAGATGGACAATCAAATGCTTTTTATGGCTCTCCAAGCAAGGCACTTATGAAAGAGTTTCTATTTATTTCATTGCCCGTTGTTTGAAAGTCAATGAACAAACAAGGTTGTTCACTTGTTAGCACGAGCACTTGACTATATGTATGAGTTTGTGGGGTGGGTTCATGTCCCTTCATCTTATATTTGTGATCCTCTAAATTTTGATTATCTTCAGTCGTGAAATAAAATTGTTTCAAAAAAAATCTAAACATTATACTTCAAAGACATTTTTATATAGTTCTAAATTAAAATCTCAATGATCACCTTTCAATAAAATGCCCAATAATGATTGATTGAGATCGGATTAGTGTACCCAATAAGTCAAGTGAGCCTCATCGGTCCGCGCCCATAAGCCCGCGAGATTACAGCAAAGACGCGGAAGAGAGTCAAACAAGCCGGATGCAAGAAGACCTAGACATATGACAATCTTTCAGATTTCAATAGGGAAAATGTTTGGTTCACAAATAAAATAGCCACAAATTTCACAAACTTACTATTGTGAATTTCAATAAATAAAATTAAATAGTTTGAACTAATTTTAAAATGAAAATTTAAACCATAAATAGTAAGTTTGTGAAGTTTGTGAGTATCCTGTTTGTGAACGTAGCATTACTCTTTCAATAGATTGTGTTGTAATAGGAATTTAGAAGAGTGGGCGAAAGATTAGAATCCCAAATCCGATTGTATTAGGATTGAGGTTCCTAATCTGTCTCCCCATAATATGTATAAATTGATCCCCTATCAAGAGAGGAGGGACTGAAAATTATTCAATACATAGTATAGTGTGAAACATGTATATTTCTTATTCTTAGAATCCCAAATACAATATTAAATTTAAAATAACCAATTAAACTAAGAATAAAAAATTGAAATACAAATGTGTATTTATGATCGAGCATAATAAGTATTAAAAATTAAAAAAAAAATCTCAAACATCCTGGTCTTACTGGTCCGACTCGAAAACCAGTCAATAAAATTGGCCGGATTCGATCCATATTGTGTTTATTCCTAGCAACAATTTCTAACAACAACAATGAAAGACGATCATGCATTGCATATAGCCTATCTACATACCAAAAACAGATCTTACTCTCTACTTACTATATCCGTCTTAAAATGTTTACCACATTTACTTTTCCTACAATCACGAGAACTTTTGTATATTTGTACGTTTTATTTGATTATTTGATAAAATAAATTTTTTTTGACATCTCTTATTTCAAAGAATTTTTAAATATGTAAATTTTATTTTTTATTTTTATACTAATATTTAAATAAAATGAATTGAAACTTAATATTATATTTCATTTTTTGAATTGTAATAAACATTTAGGGACGGAGAGGATATTAAATATGTGAGGGTCCAATGAATGTGGGTTGACAAGTATGGAAAGCACGGAGTATTACAAGAAAGTTAATGCCCGGCAATGAGATCTCCAAAGTAATTAAGAAATGGGGAGCCTGACAATAAATACTCGCTGGCTAAAATAAATAATCATAGTCTCTCTATTGTCTGAATTGTTTTGCTTGTCAAATATTTGATTTTTTATATATAATACGGAGTAATATATACTGAATTAAAATATAAAATTATACTAAATTTTTGGTATCAAAAAATATTTTGAATATATTATTTTTAAAATCTTTTTACTAATAATCTTTCCGTTTACTAAAACATTTCTTCTTTTATTTTTTTTCTCTTTCTTCATAACATTTTCACTTTTTAAAAACCATTTTTACTCTTACTTTTTATCACTAATAATTTACCCATCACATCTTAGTTTTACCTATCACATCAAAGATAAATTAGAAAATCAACCATAAATATACACTTTTTATTTTGGCTTAAATTCAAAATAGAAATTGTTTTAGAAACAGGAGTATATTTTAAAAGATATTGTTAATCAAATTATAAAGAGTAATTTACCTAAATAGGACTAAAACATAATGACTTTATCAATATAGGACCATATGTTTTTATTTCCCAATGTAGGACCATTAGTCATTATCTATTAGTCATTATTCAACTAAATGTCCAGCATCACTTGGACATTATTCTTCTCACTAGTCATTATTAAGTCTTATTTAAGGAATAAAAAAATTTAAGTCCTACATTGGAAAATTACTTGTATTTTAGTCCTATTTAGTACAAATTTCACAATTATAAACTCGAAGAGAACCAAACGGTTAAAAGGGAATGGAGGGAGCAGTATGGATTACTTTTTTACTCCGTCCCTCCCAAATTAATTTTTTGTTTTTGTAATCTACTCCGTAGCTTGTGTGTTTTAAAAAAAAAAAAAGTAAAATTATTTGATTAAAATTTATAAAGGAGAAAAAATCAATGTATACCACTTATTCCATTCCTTTTTAAATAACGAAAAGAGTAATGCTAGAGTTAGAAACTAACAACTCACAAAATTCATAAATTTGTCTTTTTAACATTTTTATAGAAATAAGATACACTCAAATAATAAATGATATTTTAATTTAAAATCTAAAAAAGACAAATTTATGAAGTTTGTAAACTATTTGTTTGTGACTCTTGCATTTTCTAAATAAAAAATATTTATTTCGAATCGAACAATAGATGGAGAGAATATCTCATAATAATCTCAATAATAAAAGTCATTAAGGAAGTTGGTGAGTTGCAGTTGATAAGTGTTCAGTTTTCTTTCTACATCGCACCCCCTGGATCACAAATTCACCACATATGTATAGCAAATTAAAGAAGATCATATTTTGTCTTGAAAATGACTCACTCCCAAATTGATTGTTATGTTGAAATGTGATGCTCAAATCTTTTGTCTCATAATACATTACAAATTGTGTAAAATAAAGAAATTTTTTTAAAATTTTTTCAATTTATTTTTATTTAATCGGTATGAAAATAAAAAATTAAGAAGAAGATTTAATGCTATGTGGATGCAGCCGGGTGGATTTGTATTGTACTACTTCTGTACCTAAGTATTTGTCTAATTTTGATATTTTTATAATCAAAATTGACAAACTTTGTTAATAAATTAAATAAAATTGATACGGATTATCATATTAGGTATTGATAAAAAATAACTTTATTAGTTTTATCTTTTAAAACACTTTTAAAATATTACTTTATAATGGATCCTATCATTTTTATTTTATTATAGATCAAAACTTGATAAATATTCTGGGACAGATATAATTAATATATTAGAATAAGAGGATCAAGACTCCTCTCAAATCTCAATGAAGTAAGACTCTAAATGACTTGATATCATATTATGACACTCGTGTCAAATGAAATGCGGCAATCAAGTTAGTAATACTCCCACATCCCATTATTTTTTGTCTTTTTCATATATTGTTCGTTCCACCGATTATTCTTAGTGTTAGAGTCTATCTCACATTGAAAATTGAATAGAAAAGTAATCGATTGGATTCAATTTTTTAATATGATTCAGCTCAAGTGTCTTATTCTCCAATCCAGTTACCCTTACCACATCTTAAAATTCTATCATGTTTTCAGAGCAGGTTTTGGCTCACTTCGTTTGTTAAGATGTCCGTCTAGATGGTCAATCCTAGCGGTCCGTTTGTCTTTAGCCATGTTTACCATATAGAGTATGTATCTGACAGCTTGTGGCTCGTTTAACTCGATTGCTCGTCTGAAAGTTCATGCACAACGACTCGTGGTCCTTTAGGTGTTGACGCTAAAAAAATCAAGGAGATGAGAACTCATTTGCAAGTGGTCAATCGGTTAGATTCAAAAGAGACCGGTTGTCCACTTGAGGGGGAGTGTTAAAGTCTATCCCATATCAAAAGTTGAATAGAAAAATAATCGGTATATAAGTTCTTGAGTTGAATTAAGTAATCGAATTATCCTTACCCCATCCTAAAATTCTATAACTTACTTTACCTGAACTTTTTACCACCCTTCTTGTCCTAAAAATTTATAAACATTATATCAGTCATATGGTACCCAAAAATAATGGTAATTTTTAATATGGTAATTTTTGCCGCAAATTATACATGCAATACAACCGGCTGTACCCAAAATTGGGTACAGCCGGTAAATTAAAGAAGGAAAGGCGTCGATCGGAGGAGAAAAGAGGAGGGTCGGGTCGGAAGCTGCGTCGAAGGAGAGCTGCGGAAGGCGAAATCGATCTGAGGCGATGAAGAAGGAGATCTGCGGCAGTTTCGGGCAAAATCGGTCGGAAGGAAGAAGGAAGATCTGCGAAATCTATCGACGAT